AGGAAGCCCAGAAGGCCTGGTGTGCCTGCCTGTTCACCAGCAGCACCATGGAAGGCAGTTATGAATACTGATCTGCTCCCATGCACACAGACCTTAATTCGGGAACCCTAGATTACAGTCAAGGGGTCCATTTGTAACTGCTTCTTAAGAGATTAGGCCGTTGGGAACCACAGGTCTCCAGGGCCGATGGGGATATTTTCTGTTTAAATAAACTGAAGTAATAGTCTCAGGGAAATTGAGAATATAAATCAATATAGTGTTAAAAAATTCTGGCTTCCAGCTTGTTTGCTTTTGGTTTACTCCAGTGGGGGTTTATTTTTGCGGTGAAGGTGATGTGGGTAAGGAGATGCTGTGGAGCTGACTGCCTGAAGGTGATCCTGTTCTGTCGACTCCAAATGTTGATACCAGGCGATTCTTAAGTGTGCTTTGCTGCACTTCCCTTACCTGTGAGCTGACTGGTGTGAGAATGATGTGAAGTAATACAGAAGTGTGCTTGCCCCACACTCTCCACACAGCACATCTCCAGCAAGTGTCTGCTGCGATGGTTGTTATTGATAGATACTGCTAGGCGTTCAGAACACACCTAGCAGGTAGGAAACAGCCCAGGGGAAGATGTAGGGAAGAGGGTTTTAGGAAGATCTCAACATGCACAAAAGCCTAGAGTTGTGATAAAACATAATCTGTTCCTCAGATTTACATTGTCCTGTGACAGGGGCATTTTAAACCACATGAAAGGATTTGAACATTACATTGCTGTGAACAAAGAAATCCAGGGACATGACATGATCGGAACTGCAGCTTAGAAAGGCATGACTTTGGAGAGGGAAAAATTGGGCAAACTTAGCAAGACCCTGTGAGGGTTGAAGTGCAAGAAGCAGGTAAGGCAAGAGGAGTCGCAGTATCAAGATGACACACAGGCTAGGATGGGCTGATGAAGGAGCAGGAGTCCCTGGTTCATTTCAGCTAAATCCCAGGGAACTTACAAGGAACCCTTCAAATAAAAATGAAATGTGACTTAGTTACATGCAATTTATTATGGAGTTGTCACTGATTTGAAAAGTGGGATTATGTTTTCTCATCTGAGGATGTCCTTACACTTGCATTAAAGTAGTTAAGAAAATTCTGCCAAGTTAGTGGCTTTGAAAATGGAATCTAGTTCCCTCTGTTCTGTTGTTTGAGCCTAGGTCCAGGTGAGATTATTTTGATTTCTTTCTATTTAGGCTAAAAGAAAACGAAGAGTCACTTGGTGTCTTGGAAAAATTAACAAAATGAAAGACTCAAACTATGTCGATGAATTTAATGTGCCGGCAAATGTAACAACAAAATCACAAAGAGCTACTCAAACTGTCCTGGGAGAAATCGATGAATGTGAGTTTCTTTTCAGTTTCTTTTGATTATGAAGCATCCCTTTAAAGAGAAAATTAATTTACAGCTCAGTGCAGTTAAAACATATTTTAAATAGTATGTTAACTGTGATAGAATGGAGGTAGTTATAAAAACAAGTAACTCTAAGACAAAGCCTCTCTTTCCAGACCCCCAAGAATAGTGATTGAAACACATGAGACAGGTATTTTTACTGGTTTTGCCCCTCATCATTGTCCTGTTAAATTAGTACCCCTGTAACATCCACCTTAAACCTTGTTAATCTTGAAATGATGACATTTACACTGGAGTCTGTTCCAAAATAAGGTCTCCAACATTATAAATATTTTTAAGCAAAATTTTAAAATCTTCTCACAATGATCAAATCCCATTCAGAATAGATTTGTCCATTTTACCTGTATCAAGGAGTTCTACTTCATTATTAAGCCAACAAGCAACCTTTTTTTTTTTAGCATAAAAGAGCTGGGGTGCAGGCCAGAGGTATGGGGGTGAGAGGATTCACCAGATACAGACTGGGGAGCAGAACAGGGAGATCTACTGAAACACTGCTGAGGGGATCAGGGGGCGAAACAGGAGAGGTCTGCTATGCCATGTGAGTAGCTTCCTGGCTAGGGATCGAGCTGAGGCCATAGTAGTAATAATGTTGAGATTTAATCCGTAGGCCACGAGGGAAGCCCCCAACAAGTGATCTTAATTCAAACAGCAGCACATGTGACTGTGTCTGTTGTGACTGCATCCTTGGCATTCAGAGTGTGAATGTGAGGGATAATTTGAACTAATCATTACTTCTAATCAGAATTTCTCAATGATCTCAGTATGACATTTAGGAAACTTTGTAAAGGATAAATTTCTTTTTCTCCTCCTAGCTCTCTGTTCAGAGTCTGATGTTTTCAGTAACACGCTTGATACATTAACTGAGGTAGAGTGGAATCCAGCAACAAAGCTACTAAGTCAGGTAAGTTAAAAGTACTTCACAGAACGTGTTTTTACTCTTTGAAATCCAACTGCTTATCAGTGTTTGCTGCTGTTAAAGCACATTTTGAGCTCTGACTTCATTTGAGTGATAATTCTGCATCTAATTAAGGTTTCCCGAGCTCTAACTCTGGCTGAGGCGCATGTATCTGAATATAGGTAAGCCTTTGCTTCCAGGTCTCTACCAGCAAATCTCAGTGTCAGGGTTTTTTTTTTAATGTTCTGTTTTGCCTTGGGCAAAGCCATGAGGGTAAAAAGAACTGATTTTAAAAGTGTGAAACTTCTCAGGTATGTATCAACAGTAAAGGAATGATATATCACGGACAAAACTGTTACCAGATAACACTGAAAAGTAAAAATAACTGTTGTATGGCATATCAGAACTTTTAAGAATAAGAAATACCGTGAAAGATGCTGTAGTACATTTAGAGAGTTTGGCTACTTTCTGGCCTGCTAAGGTTCAAAAAATTTCTATAGTTTTAGAAATACAGTTGTTAAAGAAATTTTCAGTTTCATTTTGTAATAAAATTTCATTTTATTTTGGAATAAAATTACAGTGCTTCTTGGAAATTACTATCATTAGTTAACCATTATATTTGGTTACTATTGTTAATTAGGTATTGTAGGTAAAGTGCTTTTTTGTGTCTGAAACATACTCTTGAAGTTTCTTGTTATTTAAAAAAACCCTGGTGTTTGTTTTGCTTTTTTTTTTTTTTTAACTCCGAGCTTATTTTTTTCTTATATAGAAAGTTCTTTTAAAACTGATTCTTCCAGCTTTAAACACAGCACTGCCCTCTCCCTCATTGTGTCAGTCAAAAACCCCGGAGCCATCCTTCTCCCCGTTCACTCCCTAGCCTTGTGGTGTGAAGAGGGGTGTGGTGTGTGGGTGTGTGTGTGTGAGAGAGAGAGAGTGAGCGAGAAATCCACCCACTTTTCTCTCCAGTTGTCAACAGCCCCATCACTGCTTTCCCTGACTTTCTGCAAATAGCGTCCTACCTGGTCTTCCCCCATTCTGTCTTAATCTTCTTAGATTCTCTAACCCAATCCCATGCAATCTTTTCTTCATAAACCCTGGAATAGCTTCTCTTTGCCCTTGGAATAAAGACCAGACTCCCCACGTGGCCTGTGTGCCCTTGGGCCCAGGCATTCTGGCTTCTGGACTTGTTTCCCCCCATCTTCCTTCTCCTCGTGACTCCACAACTCTGGTCTCTGGCTTTCCCTCACCCTGAAGACGTCCTGCTCTCGCTTCCTGCACTGTTTCTTGAGACCCCTTCACCTGGTTAGTGATGTCAGCCTTCAGACCTCGACTAGTATGCCCCAGCCCCCAAGAGGTCCTCCCTGAGATTGCCGTGAGACCCTGGAGTGCCCCACCTGGGTCTGGTGGGATTTGGCACAGTATCTCTCCTACCCCAAGGGGTAAATCTCACCATTTGCTGTCCAGCCTCTGGTAGGACGCTGTGTGCCCTCAGTGACTGCTAGCCAGCTGAGTTGTGGAAGAGCAGGAAGGCTGCTCTATGAATGAGCGGATCCCAGCTGGATTGTTGTAGGAAGTATCCTTATTTCTTCTCCCCTTGAATAAAATACAGACTCTGGATAGCAACTGTCTTATTTTATGATTTTCTTAAGGCCCAAGAATCTCAAGAAAATCAAGAACTGTCCTTCAGCATGGAAGAAAAAGGCAGTGAGACTGAGACAACAACGAGTGAGGAGGGGGCATCAGAGGCACCATTCAGAGTCGAGGGTGCAACTATCCCAGAGTTGAGGGCAGGAAGGCTCAGCTTGTCACAGGGGCTGCAGGAAGCCCTTCAGGCTGAAAGTGACCAACTCAGAGAGAACTTGGGAGAGGTCACAGCTAAAGTAGGTTTTTAAAAATGTTTTATAAGCATTTTTATAAAAGCTAAACCTTTGAAAAACCAAGTTAGTCATATTGTGATGTTTGTAATGTTTCTGCATATTTCTTGCAATTTCCTCTAATAATGAAGCACCAAGAAACGGAAAAGGAACTGAGAATTGCTCATCATCACCTGAAAGAACATGAGGAAACCATTCATCAGCTGAAAGTGGCTCTTTGCGAGAGGGAAACCAAACTGTCAAGCATGCAGAAGGAACTAGAAACAGCCCACAATGAATTACAGAAAAAAGGTAAATTGGTGGTAAAGGAACAGCGGGAAGAACCTGAGTGGGCAACTGACTGGAGGACTCAGCTGTCTTGGAAACATCCTGTATTTTTTTCCCTTAAACAATATGCACACACATGTAAACCTATCTGTGTATATTTGTATGTGTGTGTCTGTGTTTGGGGCTAACATGTTAATATTTTAAGGTCCAAGAGCTTCATGAGAAACAAGAACAACTTACTACCATCAAAGAAAGCAGTGAGACACAGGAGAAAATGAGCCACGTGGAGCAGTTAGAGGAGCTTCTTAAGGCTAGAGACGCATCACTACAACGTGTGGAAAGCGAGAGGCTCGAGCTGGTGGAGAGGCTTCAGGAAAGTCAAGAAGAAATAAAAATTATAACTAAGGAAAGAAATGAACTGAAGGGCGTGCAGGAGGCCCTGCGAAAGGAGAGAGACCTGCTCAAGGAAAATATTGAAGAAATCGAAGCTAAAGTACATTTCCCTTTTTCAGTGTTATTTGTTTTTTTTTTTTTTTTAACAGAAATAATGTCAAGGTGATAATGATGATGCCCACTCAATATTAATAATTTTCCTCAAATTACAAAGGGACAGAAAATCAAAGAGGAGCTAAAAAACTCGTGTTCTTCTGATGGAGTCCCAAGAAACTATTGATGCAGAGACCCTGTCAGAGGAGACGGACCAAGAGGCGGGATCTCCAGGAGACCTGGATGCTGGATTACAGGGCAGAGTAAGTCTTGTTTTCTCACCTGAGAAGTGCCCCGACTCTGGTGTCTGCCTTCTTACCTGGGTGAGCAGCCTAGACTAAATGCAGAGATGTTTGCTTGAATCTAGAAACAATCCTATTTCCCCAAATCTCTGGCTCTGCCCGGCTCACTTGGTTTCTTATGTCCTCAGACCCAGGAGCGTCAGCCTGGGGAGGGTGCAGCTGTCAGCGAGGCTCAGGCCACAGAGTGTGAAGTGGAGCGGCTGACGCAGCAACGCGAGACCCAGACGTCTACTCTGGAGGACACAGAGATGGAGAAGCTGCACGAACACTTAGAAGAAATGAAGTCTGTTTGCAAAGAAAGAGATGACCTCCAGAGTCTGCAGGAGATCCTCAGAGCAGAGAGGGACCAGCTCCAGGAGAGCCTTCGGGAAGCTGTGTGCAGGGTGGGTCTCCCCAACCCTGAAGGGGAGACAGCCCAGCTGGGGAAGCCAGGGGAGGGTCTCACTAGGACCTTCCAAGCGTTGCACATGGACCCGGAAAGTGCCATTGCAGCTGTGTGTCCAGCAGCATCAGCACCACTGTGCAGGGCTGTGTGGAAGGGTCTCTGCCACAGTGAGTTGCAGTGACCAGTAAAGCAAACCTGGACATGGGGACATGCTCAGTGTCTGTGGTAGGGCTGCTTAGATTGGGGCCACAGGTTGAAGCCATGGTTAACAGGCCATGGGTGAGGGTGCTCGGGCACTAGGTGGTCCTGTCAGGGAAGAAAGGGCGGGTGCGGGGCTATTGACCTCTCCAGGTCACTCAGAGGAGGGGCTCAGGTAGGACAGCTCCTTCGTACACAGCTTGAATTGTGTTTATCTTTCCCAATAACCATCAAGGACCTTGAAATACAAGAGGGACTAGAAACTGCTCGCATGAGTCTGAAAGAACAGCAAGAAACCATTGATAAACTCCAAGGGATGGTTTCAGAGAAGACAGATGAAATAACAAGTATACAAATGGATTTAGAAAACACAAATTCTTTCTTAAAATCACAGGTATATTTTCCTCTTTTTAAATTGTTACCTGAGTAAAACAATTTGAATTGGGTCTTTGTAATGAGACAGGACATGAATTAACCTAAAATTGAAGACAAGTAAAACTCTCCCTACCCTGTTTAGAAACTGTTTTTTAGCTGTTTATTTGCCTCTTTCTGTAGCCAAACTAACTGTATGATTATCTCAAGGTCCAAGAACTCCAGGAAAAAGAACATCAACTTCTTGAGGCAAAACATTGTCTCACAGAAAATATATACCAAACAGAGTAACTGAGGAAGGAAATGGAGGCCCAGAACTCTACCCTGGGAGGTCTGGAAGCAGAGAAGTTACGGTTGACACAGAAACTTCATGAAAACCTTAAAGAAATAGAAGTTATCACCATGGAAAGAGATGGCCTGAGAAGAGCAGAGGGGGCACTCCAGACAGAGCAGGAACAGCTCAGGGAGAGCCTCCGGGCAGCCAAGACCAAAGTGAGTCCTTCTCATCGTTTTACTAGGGAGGAGGAAAATAATTTCTCGTGGATGTATTGATCGAACAAAGTGAGGAAAGACATGAAGGATGGTGCAATCCACCTGTTCTGATCCCTACTCTGTTCTCTGGTGAATCCTCTCACCCCTCCCATACCTCTGGCCTGCACCCCAGCTCTTGCATGCATAATAAAATCAATAAAAAGCAATGGACTTTATTTGTGTACATGTGGTTTTGATGACTTGCAGTAATTGTGAAGCATGTGTGTGTAACTCCCTAAAGAAAGAAGTAACGGTGAAAGACTAGGTAAGAAATAAATTATGTGTGTTTGTGAGAACAAGTAAGGAAAAAAGAAACTGATTGTGTGTTCATGTGACGCAAGGTAGCAAACATAGTACCCACATATGCGTGTGACCCTTTGGGGAATGAAACACCTGTGTATGTGTGTGTATGTTTATGTGAATACACAGAGAAAGTAGGTGGCTGTGTGAGACCAGGGGAAAAATGGAGTCGCTGGTATGTTTGCATGTTACTAAGTGAGGAATGAAGGAACTGTGTGTCTCTGTGTGAGGAATGAACAAACATACTTGATGTGTGCATGTGGTAAGTGAGGAATAAAACAGCATGCGGCTAGGCAAAAAATCAAGAAATTGATTGTGTGACTAGGTGAGGAGTGATTCTGAATGTGTGTTTGTGGTGAGATGAGGTAACAAATGAGGTTACTGTGTGTTATTGTGCTTAACTTCAAAGGTAAGGGATGAAGTGATTTTGCGTGTGCATGTGCCTGTGACTGTGTGTGATTGTTGGGTGAGAAATGGTGATTATGTTTATGTGTGTAAAAACAGGTGAGAAAAAAGTGACCATGTGTATGTGTGAGAGACAAGGTGAACAATGAGAAACTGTCTATATGTGTGAGTAGGTAAGGAATGAAGTAATGGATGGGGTATGTGTTCACAGATGAGGAACATAACTGTGTGTGTGGAAGGTGACACAGATTGAGGTGACTGAGTGCGTGTGGGTGGACCAAGAACAGGAGTGGAGTAAAGGATGATACATCTGTGTGTGTCCAGGTGAGAAATCAAGTAATGGCAAGTGTGTGTGAACGAGTTGGTGAGAAAAAGTCAGGATATATTGACACGTGTGGGCACGACAAGGTGAGAAATAAATACTTGTGTGTCAGCGTGTGAGAAGTTATGTGTGTGTGAATGTGTATCTGATGAGACCAGGTGAGATGGGAACAAAACAACTGTGTGTGGGAGCGAGGTCACTGATGAAGACTGACTGTGTGTGTGTCACTAGGTTCACTTTTCCTTCCCCTCTTCCTCCTCTTTACCTCTGTACTTACCTCCCCTCACCTTTCCTCACTGCTCCTTACCTTTTCTCCACAGGGTCCAATGTAGTCTCAACACCGAAGTATTGACTGTGCCTTACCTCTTTTCATGGAGTCCAGTGCAGTCCCAACACCAAAGTGCTGCGGTGCCTCTGCTGAGGCCTCAGGAAACCAGCTCCTCTGTGTGGGCAGAGCCAGGGCCCCTGGCAGATGACCATGCATGACAGGAATCAAAGTGGCTCCGGGTGCTCCATGGGGGGTGGGTACAGTAGTATGCACAGCATTCACAGTCCCCACCCCAGAATTTCTACTTCAATGTCATGAAAGGATGGAAATTCAAACAAAAAGGGAAGCAACTTGATACATCCAATAATAATGATGGAGTGACGAATTGTGAAACAGTGGGAATGAAATGAATGTGAACACAACTTACAACTTACACCAAGTATCACCAAAATTATACATAAGCAAATAAAATTGTCAACCATAATTATTAATCATAGCAGAAAACAGAATAAATGAATAGTGTGGACTTCAGAATATCAAATATTTTCTGTGAATATTTTTTGTGAAAGGACATGTTCAGAGAACCACAAGCCAAGAAGAAAAGTGAAGCAAATTTCCAAACCACGAATCTGAACAGACATCTCACCAAAAATATACAGATAATAAATGGACGCACAAAATATATTCATTGTCATGTATAACTAAGGGGTTGTTAATTGGAACAAGGAAACATCACTACAAAGAACTGTTAAGCTCCCAACATCACTTTACCAGTTGACACACTGCTGGAGGGTGAGAACAGCAGGAAGACCCCTTCATTGCCGGTGGAATGCATGGGCAGATGCTTTGGAGGGCAGTTGGGCAGTGTTTCCCAAAGACAATAAAAAATCTCACCTTCAGATTCAACAATCAGGCCTCCAGTATTAAGACAACCACCTTGAAAAACTATGTTCAAACAAAATCTAGCATGTTATTATGTGCAGATGGTCTATTCATGGCTAAAATCCTTTCTAAAATCAAGATGTCCTTTAATGAAGAGTGCAAAAGCAAACTGTCATTCCTTCAGGGAAAGGGAGCAGAACATGACCCCACAGAAGCCTCTTTGGCATAAGACCACTTGACAACCATAATATGAAAGCAGAGCCTGTCTCATTGGTGTCAGGATTATTTGGGGTCTATTTTTAAAAACAGCAGATTGGGAGAATCTCTCAAAAACAAGAAGTTGCCCCTCTGTGAGAGTTGCACACTCATAAGGGAAATCACCAGTCCTGAGGTTGTCTGCTCTCTACCAGGAACAGAAGAATAACAAATTCAAAACAAGCCACCAACCTCATCCATGGCAAGCTCTGGGCATTCATCTAAAGAACAATGACTCCCTGGATGATTTTTATTTGCTTGATCACCTTCCATGGCTTTCCCCCTCTCCTGACATTTTCCTGTTTTGTTTTTACCTGAGGATGGCACAGAGGCTGATCACTTGGGCCCTTCTATGGAGTTATTAGGTTTCCCCTGCTATCCCTCATGTATATAAGAAATATAAATGTTATGAAAGTTCAGTTTGCTTTTCTCCTACAATCTCTCTTGTATGATAGAGGATCTCATCTAAGATCTTAGAATAGTACAGGCAAAATTATTTGGTCATTCAAACATGCATGAATAAAATTCAGCAACAGGAACGAATGAACCATCAACCACTGTTGGAGGGAGGATGGGAAATTTCTCTCTACCCCTCCAGCTGAAAAGCCATCCGATGAACAGCAGATGGATTAGTTGGAAAAACAACAAATTCAAGGACACAACCACGCACTCATTCATGCTCACCTCATACCAGGCCCCAAATCCATGCTCGCAAAACAATGCAAATCAGAAACAGAACATATGCTCTCACCATAACCCTAGATCATGACTATCATCTTAGTTATCATAAAGCCTAAGCATCATGCACAACAACCCTCACCCTTACTCAAATTATTACCTGAATTCCTAACCAAAGAAATTGACCCTATTTTTGTAAACCAGTAACACCCAACTATAATCAGTCAAATAAAAAAAAAAATCATCACAAGAACAGAAAACTAAAGACCTGGACCTTTCAGGCCTAGGAATCCTCCACAAAATAACAACAGGAAACCAACAGCCCATCAAAAGGTGGATACACTACAAACGAGTGTCTATCCCAGAAAGTCCAGTTGTTAACATACTAAAACCAAGACATGCAACGAACCCATGGATTGTATGAGGAACAAACATGGATCATGTCAAGTGATTCAGAAAACTCTTTCTGAAAAATCCAGTACCCTTCCATGATACAATCACTCAAAAAGGAATAAAGGAAAGTTTTTCAATAGAATATAGAGTATTATAAAAAAAAAATTATGAGCATCATGTTCAGATTTGAAACCTGGGCGCTTTACTCCAGGTGTAAAGAATGAGGCCAAGATACTGATTCTCACCACTGTCATTCCAAATTTTACTGGAACTTCTTTCCAGAGCAATGAAGAAAGAAATAAAAGGCATCCAGGTATGAAAGGAGAAGATAAAACTCTGTCTATTCACAAACAGCAGCTGACATCATCTTATATATAATGAAAAATATTAAAACTGTAAACTAATTTTCTAAATATAACCCACCGTTTACTTCATGTATATACACTACTAGTAAAAAAGGGAAGATAATTTTTGAAAACATTCCATACATTTGACACAATATCTACATTAATAAAATATGTAAGAAGCCATTTATACCTCAAGTGGAGTACTTGTACACTGAAAATTAGAAAACACT